GTTGGCAAGAGGGAAAACATAGCCCAGTCTTTTTCTTTTTTGGTCCGCTTTCCTTTTGTGTCAAGGGTCAGGGGGTACTCGCGCGGTGAGTTTTCTTTTCTTTTTCTATTTCGCACACGAGGAATTCCCCTCCCCCCCCTCTCCCGATCTGTGGACTTGTTTTTTTTTTTTTTTTTTTTAAATTTTCAAGAAGAAGATCAATCTGTATTAACATCAAGCCGGGAAGCGGGCCCGGCGTCCCTTACAAAAAGTCGCCGCAGCCCTGAGCTGAGCGAGGCTCGCCGGCCTGGCAAAGCTCATGCCGCAACTGTGTCAAGGGCAAAAATCCTTCATAGTTGCGTATGGTGCGCGGCCATAATAAAAGACAGATACGGTTAGGAATGGATCCAGTGCCAATCCGTTCTGTGGACATAGGTGCGCTCGGTGCTCGGCCATAATAACAGTTAAGATATTTTGCAGGCGTGCACGTATGCACGCGCATGTATGGTCTTGCGAATGGAGTCATTGCCAATGGGTCCTTTCTGTTTTTCTGTTTTTCCCCCCCTAAAGGTTATTATCGCCTACATCAAAGTATGGACTTTTTGCCTTTTAGTACTTGGCCCAGCTATCAAGTCCGAGCCTCGGCCGACGAGCCTTGCTGCCGAGCCTTGCTGAGGCTCGAACTACAGGGCGCTAACTTCCCAAACGTGCTTGGAGCCTCGGCCCCTAACTTCCCAAACGTGCTTGGAGCCTCGGCCGCCGTCTGCCGAGCCTTGCTGAGGCTCGAGCTATGGGCCGCTAACTTCCCAAACGTGCTTGGAGAAGAACACGGAATAAAGAACAGGAAAAAAAAAAGCAAAAAGCAACGACAGAAAAACGGGATTTACTCTAAAAAACATGGAAAAAAAACAAAAAAACGGTTACTACCTCCTCGACATGCACAAAGAAGTTGATGTACCTTTGCATGTTCTAGCGGAATATTCACTCTCGTTTCGTTTTCGGAAACGAGAGAGAGAGAGAGAGAGAGAGAGAGAGAGAGAGAGAGAGAGAGAGAGAGAGAGAGAGAGAGGGGGGGGCCCTCCGTGCAGGTCGCTGCCCCCCCCTCTCTCTTTCTTTCTCTCTCTCTCTCTCTCTCTCGGGCGTGCACGCGTGCACGTTTCCATTGTGTATCCGGAAACGGGCATGGATCTTCCCGTGAAAGCGGGAAGATTCATTCCCGTTTTCGTTTTTAGAAACGAGAGAGAGAGAGAGAGAGAGAGAGAGAGAGAGAGAGAGAGAGAGAGAGAGAGAGAGTGGGGCGGCGAGTTCGCCGAGGCCCTCCGTGCAGGCCGCTGCCTCTCTCTCTCTCCCTCTCTCTCCCATTTTCGAATAGACTATGGAAAGGCCCCCTGCGCG